CTGATGGGACTGAGAACGTGTCGGCACGATTCTGGGCGGTCATTGGTCCCCAGCACCCGGATGCCGTGCAAGCCTTGGCCCCGGCTAATCGGGCCCGTCTGGGGTCTTTCTGAAACTGAGAACTCTTCACAAGGCCAGTGAGAAAACAAGATAGGAGCCCCCAGGGCAAACCTCTGCCCCCCCCCCCTTGGGCCCCCTGCGTACTCGCCGAGTCCGCCCAGACCCTTGGGCTCGAGGCTGGCCGCGAGGGTCTTTCGCTGACCTTGCTGACCACCTGCTCGTGTGACTGGCTTTGCCATCCTGTCCCCAAGGCGCCTCAGTTTCCAGCTGGTGCTCAATGCCTCTGAGCCTCTGAGCTCCCTCAGGGCTGGTGACGTGGCCCATCTTGGTATTTCTCATTGCCAGCCCCTCCCTGCCTGCAGCACAAGCCCCTGCCCAGCCCTGCAGAGATTTCAGCCCTTTCAGCCTCTAAGGGGTGCTTGGGCCAAGTCCGCCTTCCAGCATGGCCTCCTGCTGGCCACGGACATGGACTCTCATGGTAGCCCTGACCCTGGGGAAGGACAAGACAGTGAGATCTGGGCCAAGCCGAGGAAGCTGCAATTCTCACCAAGGAGCCCCGAGAAATGCCCTTTTCCTCCTATAGGATTGTGGTGGCAGAGACGCACCCTCCCAGCCGCCTCCCCTCCCCCCCCACCCCCCCACACCCGGCGCTGGGCGCTTTGTTGGAGAAACTTCTCTGTTGGCCAAGATGGAAGGGCTGTGGGATTTGTAGACAGGACTGACAGACATAACAGAAGGACCCAGAGACCCCCCGGGAGTTCCTCTCAGGACTCAGGACTCCTTAGCTGGCATTCCAGAAACAAACAGAATCAATTCCTAGGACACAGCAGGGGATAGTTGACCCACTTGTTCGCATCAAGATGTAACAAACGTCAAGTTCTGGTGACTGCTGCCTAGTGGATTAGAGGTTCTTCAATTTAAATTTCATATTGAAACCCCTCAAACTTTTAAAGTCACAGACAAGAAACTACAAGAAAGTAAATCTTGGGGGCCGGAGTGATAGTACAGTGGGAAGGGCATTTGCCTTGCACACGGCCTACGTGAGTTCCATCTCCAGCATCCCATAGGGTCACTGTCATTGTCACTGTCCTCCCGTTGTTCATCGATTAGCTCGAGCGGGCCAAAAAAAAAAAAACACCATAACTCTCCATATCTGAGGGGCTGGAGTGATAGTACAGCGGGAAGGGCATTAGCCTTGCACGTGGCCACCCTGCCTTCAATCTCTGGCACCCACACGGTCCCCTGTGCACTGCCAGGAGTAATTCCTGAATGCAGAGCCAGGAGTAACCCCTGAGCAAAACCAGATGGGCACAAAAAGTTAAAAAAAAAAAAAAGTCGTCTTATTTACGCCTGCTCAAGTCAAATCAAAGCATTGACCATAGCAAATAAGCTCCCACAGAAGCCTGTCTAATCTGAAAGCAGGACACAGCGGACAGTCCTGGGGTCAGGAGACCAGGGAGTCAGAGTCAGAGTCCCCAAGGAAACACCTCTCGGATCTTTGCACCAGCTGCTAACCCCACCACGCAACTGGTCACCCCTGAGCCACATAGCTCCTGGCCACCTCACTGCCAGACGCTCTTGAGAAGTCTGCCACATCCTGATGTGGCAGTTGGCCCTGTCCTAGCTGCTGAGACCTGAGCCGCTTTGATCTGAATGTACGGAGAAAGGGACGGATTCTGCTGTTTCCAGCTGGGACTGTCCCTAGGGTCTTCACACTGTGTTTTAGAGGAATTCTCAAACGGAACCATTGGGGGGCATCACATGAGGGGCTAATGAGGAGTGGACAGCTGACTATTATCCCAGGGTCTAGAAGGAGTCCCCTGAAGAGAACTGTCTTCTGGTCAGAAGGAGAGGAAGAAACTGCTTCTGGAGGCCTCTATGCAAGTCTTCCAGCCCAGCAGCCCCCCCCCCAGGAGGAGGCCCCCACCCCCTTCCCCCAGGATCGAGGACCTAGGGGACAGCCTGTTGGTGCAGACTGGATGCTTCCTGGCAGACTCGTTGTACCTCTTGGAAAACCTCAGTGCAAGACAGTTGTTCAGTGCTGGCGCATTCTGGGATTCTGCACATTTGAGGAGTGCAATAATGCTGTATAGTTTTTTTCCCCTCCCTTCCCCAAATCCACTCAGTTAATAGTTTTTTTAAAATGTGACATTACTACTTGTACCTTTTCTTTCTTAGTCATATTTGACAAAGTAGGATATTTAGTTGCGATTAATTTCACTTTAAAAGATGTCTGTTTAAATCTGTTGTAATTTTATACGAATTTTCCTGTTTATAGTTTAGAAGCAATCCTTTTAGGAGCACCACTGAAGTTCCCAAATACTTTATGAGAGTCTCTCAGACATCTCTGATTTGGTCATGTCCAGTTTCTGATCTTCAGAAATACCATATAGATTGTGTACGGTGCGTTATGCAAGATTATGGGGAAAATCCTATATCCAGAGTACTCTGCCCATTTGTGTGTATGTGTGTGTATGCGTGTGTGATTACCAAGAACTACTAAAAGACCAACCGCTTTTTCAGTCCTGTTGTGCATTTCGTGCCTTGCCTAATGAGTTGACTAACTGGGTCTTTATACTTAACCCAATGCAAAACTAAGCAAATGTAAGTTAAATAAAATGTTTGAATAAAAAAAATAAGGACAGGGAGCATCTCAAGACAGAGCCCCTAAGGACGGGGAGTCCCAGAGGATGGGGAGACCCTCGGGATGGGGAGACCCTTGGGACAGGGAGCCCCTCAGGAGAGAGAGACCCTGGGGATGGAAACACCCTTAGGACAGAGAGTCCCTGGATGGGGAGACCCTCAGGACGGGGAACAGCTTAAAGTATCTCAGGAGCACTGAAGTGGCTTCTTGAATCCCTTCTGTGATCTCATCTCTAGGATACACACCACTCACTTTATTGGCTTCCAACTGAGACTCCAGAGCTCCTGTTTCTTTGAGCAAAGACCTAGTCAAGAAGAGAGAAAAACACGACTCTCAGAGGTCAGCGTTTTGGACAGAGAAACAGCTCCCAGTTCTCACAGACCCCGGCCCCTGACATAGCGCCAACCTGCCCAGACTCCTCCGAGAGCCAGCCCAGTCCCTCTGCTCACGCACACGCTCCCAGAGAGCGCTCAGCTCCGCAAAGGGGCCTCTGCTCTGCCAGGCAGGAAACAGCCACGATCAGGGGCCCTCACCTGCCGCCTGGCTCTTGGTCTCAGCCCACTTTTGCTCCTAAGCTGATCCAATCTAGGTGGCCTCGGCATGAGTTTCCCGGGTAAGGCAGCACAGCAGACAGGAGAACAGAATACTGACCCGTCCAGGAAGTAGGCCCTGGCTGAGAAGCTGAGTGACCCTCAGCCCCAGATCTGGGACAGATAAATCAGGGGCGGGGCTTGAGACACAGGCTGGGCCCGGGAATCCAGGCTAGCAGTACTACCTCTAAGCCGTGTCCCCTCTGGCCTCTGCCTCCCAGGATTTCTAGGCTCATGAATGGCCTGTTGTCACCTTGTTGGGGACAAGCACAGACGGACCATCACAGACGGTCCAAACCCCACATGAACTCTCAAAACGGCACTTCCGGCACCTGCTGGACAACTGACCAGCTTGGACAGTTTCTTCTAACCTGTGACACCTTCCACATTTCCAGGTCACATGACATCCGACGTGTAGAATACTTTGCATTTAATTAAAGCAACAACCACAGACTGTATCTGTGGTTCTCGTCAGTCTCAGTGACTAAGGCCTTCCTCCTGGGTGTTCACACCAGGTCTGTCTCCCATTTGCCAGTGAAACACATCTCCTGAGACTGTGCATAATACTTGGTGACACTCAGTCACAGGCAGTCTGAGCTGCTCTGGATGGAGAATCTTATACACATTTGTTTGGCTTTGGGTCTCTAGGGAGGACACGGAGACAGTGTGGGAGCCTGGGAACCACTGAAGCACCTGTGGGTGGGGACTGCTGAAGGAGGTCGTGCTAAGGTCCCCAGGGGTCACTTTTAATACCCTCGCTCTCTTATTCTAAACCTGTGTTTCTCTCCTTCCAGAACCCAGGACACTGCAATCAATGTTGTTTGTTATTAATATGGTTATAATACTGAGACTAACAATATTATTGCATTAATAATTCTGTATTATTATGTTATTCTTATATTACTGTATATAATATACAATTTACATTGTATATAGAGTTGGAGCGATAGCAGAGCGGGGAGGGCATTTTCCTTGCATGCGGCCGACCCGGTCGACCCGAGTTCAATTCCTCTGCCCCTCTCAGAGAGCCCGGCAAGCTACCGAGAGTATCTCGCTGTCAAGACGAAGCCTGGCAAGCTCCCCGTGACGTATTCGATATGCCAAACAGTAACACCAAGTCTCACAATGTTACTGGGCCCGCTCGAGCAAATCGAAGAACGACGGGAGGACAGTGACATTGTATACGGGTAGAATGTATGTAAGATATGCGTGTGTATGTATTCACGCATACAATGTGTATAGTGTATAATCATTGCATTATCATACTATGTTGTATTATTATTGTATTACTGTATTAACAATATTGTTGATATTGTTCATTAACCGTTAACTGGAAATTAGTAACAAGCTGAAGCGAGGCTCAGTGGGACTGGGCTCCTTCCAGGGAATGTGCTCTGAGCAGTGCATGGTCAGGGACAAGGGTGGGACAGACGCCAACAGGCCAGAGAGCTGAGACAAAGGAACAGAACCATGGAAATACATGCAGAAAGAACATCGTGGGGGGGGGGGGATGGAGGCGGGTATGCACACTGCAGATAGTACCGGGGGCATGCATACTTCAGGTGGTGGGGGCAGATGGGGCCCCAAAGCGGACCACTCCTTGCAGAGGGCCTACTGCAGACTCTTGGGTGTGGCTTGAGGTGTTCCTCATCACCTCCCTCAAGAAGACACCTGAGCACCGGACTGCTGCTCCTGTCCTGTGGTACATGGGCAAAGGTGATGGCCGGGTGCCTCCCGAGAGCCCTGGAGTAGGCTGGCACCATTCTCCTTGCAGCTGCAGGAACCCCCGTGGATAGCTGGCGCTTTGGGGAGCAAAGGGGCTCCCGTAGGTCGTTGTGCTGGAGAATGTGTCCTGTTCCACCCCGCACCATGACGCTTCTGGGGGGCCTTGACCAATCTGGCTGCAGAGACAATCTCAACCCCACGTGGCACATGACAAGATGCCCCCGTTCATGGCTCTTCCCTTCGTGGGTGACTCGCAGATTCAATTTTGTACAAGATCCTCCAGCAGGGAGACAGAACCTTGCTGGTGGCTCAGACGATAGTTCACATTTCTTAATTTTTGCTGTTGTTGGGTCACATTCAGTGGTACTCATGCATCACTTCTGGCAGTGCTGGAGGGGCCAAATGGGGTGCCGGGGACCAAGCTGGAGACAGAGGCGTCAACGTGAGGTAAGTGCCCTTCCTTCTGTACTCTCTCTGGCCATGTTCCGTTTTTCTAACCTCTCTTTTGAAGTAACATAAAGAATCCGGAGTTCCGACCTCCATCGACGGTCAAGAATCAGGGACGCTGTCTCATTTGCCAAGGCATCGAAAATCAGATGGGCTGGACACGTAATGAGATTTGGAGATGACCGCTGGACTAGAGCCATTACCGACTGGATTCCATGGGACGTCAAAAGACCACGTGGCTGCCCACCTACCAGATGGTCAGACTTCTTCGTCAAGACCCTGAACAATCAGTTTGAGGCTGTTCATGTTCCTAGAATGAACAGATGCCATTGGGCTACACTAGCACGTGACAGGGAGAAATGCAGACGTTACTGGCGCCCGCTCGAGCGAATCGATGATTAACGGGAAGTCAAGTGATCAAGTGATTTCGGGTAACTGGATGAAGAAAAGCAATGTTTTATTTTTTATTTTATTATATATTTTTTGGCTTTTGGGGTCATACCCAGCAGTGCTCGGGGGTTATTCCTGTCTCTGCACTCAGGAATTACTCCTGGCAGTACTTGGGGGACCCTATAAGATGCCAGAGATCGAACCCAGGTTGGCCACGTGCAAGGCAAACGCCCTACCCGCTATGCTATCGCTCCGGCCCCAGAAAAGCAATGTTTCAAAGGACAGATCTCTAAACCCTTGGATCCAGACGATAGAAACGGAAGACGGAAAGTGTGGGAAGAGATAGAGGAGATGAAATGGGAACTCAGGCACATCAGTGGTAGTCACAAAGTGATAGGGCTAAATATTCAAACCGCAGAGTTAATAACACCGAAATTCCAAGATTCAAACGTTCATAACAAGATTTTCAAGGTGCCTGTCAAGATGACACGTTCGGACTGGGGGAGGGGTGGAGGAGAGAGAGTGCAGCAACGCGGGTGGAGGGACTGGGGATGGAACATTGGACGTCGAAAGCCACACTCTGAATAAGTTTGTGACTCCCGTTTGCTTTAGCACGGCACTGTCCTCCCGTTGTTCCTCGACTTGCAAGAGCAGGCCAAGGAACGTCTCCGTTTTGAGTCTTCTTCTTGTGGGTCTGGCAGGTGGGATAGGACAGGGGAGCTTGCCAGGCTTTGCCCTGCAGGCGAGATGCTCTGGGGAGCTTGCCCGGCTCTCCAAGAGGGGCAGAGGAATTGAACCCGGCCCCAAGGTCAAAGTGGATGCATTCCCGAGAAGAAAGCGGGTGGATTATTCCCTGCCCGTCCCCCCCAGACACAGGCCCTGACAAGGGGAGGAGCCGCCAGCCATCTCCTAGGCTCACAGTGACCAAGGGCCCACCGCCTCGGCCTGCATCCCTTTTCGGAGCCAGCTCCAGAAGGCAAGGGGAGCGATCCAGAAGTCCAGAAAGACCTCGGGGGAAAAATCTAAGTCCTCTTCCTTCTCGGGCCGGGGACCAGGCGCCCCCAGGGGCTCCCGGCTGGCCCGCCACCTCGCAGGATGCAGTGCCTGCCAGCAAAGGGCCAGGCCTCGGGCCCAGGCACACGTGCTCAGCCGGGCCATCGGCCCCGCCCCGAGCCGCTGCGGACCCTGGAGCGCGCCCCCCGCGGGTCCACCCGCCCGACCCCCCGGCACCCGGCGGCGCAGGCAACACGACCTCCCCCCGCCCCCCCCCCCGCGCCTGCAGTTACAAGCTCCACCGGCGGACCTCGCGGGCTGGAGGCCTGACAGCGGGACCAACGTCGACCGGGACGCCGACGTCCTGGAACGCCGCCCCGGGCAGCGCGCCCGAAACGCTGCCGTCAGCCCAGAGGAGCTCCGGCGCCGTATAAAAGCGGACGCCAGGGGGCGCCCGAGCAGCCTCAGTGCGATCGCCCCCCCCCACCCCGCCCCGCGCGACTCAA